TAGAGTGGGGATACAGAGATGGGAGTGGTGTGCAAGGAACAGGGCAAGCACTGACATGTTGAAGGGAGTAAAGAAAAGAGAACTGGTATGAAACCAGGGTCAGAGACTATGCAATGAAGCCTTGACAAAAGGTTTAGTCTACGGGATAGTATGAAGACTTCAGGGAGAAGACAAATGGTAGGGGCAAGGAAAGGAAAGAACAACACATGATGGGTGGTAGAGGAGATGCACAGAGGGAGAGGATGGAAGGTCATCACAAGGAGGGTGCCCAGAAAGCTCACAGACAATCCTGTAGCCCAAGCAGGATGGTCTAGACCAGCACAGGCTTTCAGAACACTCGGCATCCTGTGTGCTGTGGGACAGGGAAAGTGTGCAGGGTTGCAGGGAAGAGAAAAGAGGAGCAAGAGAAGGACATAAACAAAAAGGCAGAGGGTGAGAAGAGGTCTGGAGGTAGAGAGATGTTGGCAAAAAGAAGCTTGAGGGACAAACTCACAGAGAAAGCCTTCAGTGAGGCCTGGCAAAGTGGTCTGAACCAGGATACCCATTCAAGACGAGGGGTAGGGATTTGGTAGGGATACAGGGCCGGGAGATTAGACAGAACCAGCAAAAGGAGGAGAAGGAGGAAGATGAGCACAGGAAAAAAGGAGAAAAGAAGGGTGGAAGGCAAGATGGCCAAAAAAGGTCAACATGCAAAGGCAAAGGGCAGACCATGAAGGTCAGGCCGGTTGTATGGCCATGGATTCCCTGTCAGGTCGGTGTCCTGACCCATTTGTGGTGCAGGCTGCAAGGCAAGCTTCCAGATTAGGGGTAGGGGCTGGGTCTGGTAGGGAAGGGAAGAGGAGGAACAGGAGGGATACAGGAAGGCCATCTGGGTTTGCAGGATGGCCAGTGGAGGCAAGCTAGCTTCCTTAGCCACAGAACAGGCCATGAAGACCTTCCTGGGGTTCTGGCCTAAGGCCAGGATGGGGGCCTGGCAGGCCGATGGGATAGGTGTAGGGAGAGGAGGCAGGGTAGGGGCAGGTGAAGGAAAGGACGACGCCCAGGGGCCAGGGAGTAGGAGGTCAGCGAAGGAGGTACTCGGGAAGACATGCAGCCCACCCAGTAGGCCAGGTAGGGTGGTCTGGCCCAGGACACTCTTCTGAGACAGGGTCCTAGGGCACAAGTGGGGTAGAGGACAGCGAAAGCACAAGGGGTCACAATGGAAGAGAGAAGCGATGCAAGAAGAGCTAAGCAGGGAGGGAGAACGTGGAAAGGGGTCTGAGGGATGCAAGGGATTCCGTGCAAGGAGATTATGGGCCTGAGCCACAGAGCAGGCCTTCAGTGAGTCCTGGCAGAGTGGTCTGAACTAGGACATCCCTTCCGGACAGGGTCCTGGGACTTAGAAGAGAAAGCGGGCCGGGAACGCTCCCTGGGGAAGGGAGAGTGGAGACAGTTTGCACAAGGAGGATGAGGAGGATGGGACAGGAAGCAGGACAGAAGAAGATGGAAAGACAGGAAGGCCCAAGAAGGTCATCCTGCAAAGCCACAGGGCAAGCCATGAAGGCCAAGCCAGGGACTCCTTTGCAGTGCAGGCTGCAAGGCAAGCATGCAGACTAGGGGTAGGGACTGTGGCTGGGCAGGTCGGAAGGGAAGGGGAGGGACGGAAGAGATACAGGAAGCCATCTGGAGTGGCAGGATGGACAGTGGAGACTAGATACCTTTCTTAGCCACAAAGCAGGCCCTAAAGACCTGGCCAGGGCTCTGGCCTAAGGCTCCCTTTCTTGATGGGGTCCTGGCCGGTCCATGGGGTAGGTTCAGGGAGAGGAGACAGGGTAGGGGCAGGAGGAGGGATGGACGATGGATGCACGGAGGCCAGAGAGAGGCCCGCAGGATGAGGGGGTAGGAGGTCGGCACAAGGAGGTACTCGGGAGAGCCACCCAGCCAGCCTAAAAGGCCCGGCAGGGTGGTGTGGCTCAGGACAGCCTTTCGGGACAGTGTCCCGGGAATCCTTTGGGGTAAAGGCCAGCGAAAGCACGCAGGGTCATAAGGGAAGAGAGAAGCAGAGCAAAAAGAAGAGCTAAGCAGGGAGGGAGGTGGGCGGAAAGGTCATGGAGGAGGGGGGGTTAACGATGTGGGCCCAAGGAGATTATGGGCCAGAGCTACAGAGCAGGACTTCAGTAAGGCCTGGCAGAATGGTCTGAAGCAGGACATCCCTTCAGGACTATGATTATAGGCTACCAAAATAGTATGGACTCAAATCCTGTTGTATTTTGATATGTGGCTTTAAACTTATTTGGTACTTCCCTGGGAATCCCAATTGCATCAGTGAAAATGTGAGTGAGGGTTGAAAAGAACCTCCCAGAGAACTGATATCCCTTCCTTTTTAGTAACATCCCTCTGGTGATGGTTTGAGGGTACTATTAGTTTTATTAATGACTAAGAGTACCTGAACCCATTGAACTGGCTTTTAGGTCCCTACTATGGGACCAGTGATATTACCTGGGGAATCAGAGTACAATTACAATTTTTATAGTTAACTTGGTGCTTCCTGGGCATGAGATGACAAGTTGGAGTCAGAGTTTCCTTTACTCAACTGTGGTGTGTCCAACCCTTTTCAGCAGTTCAAACAGCAGTTTCTGTGCTTAAGAAGACCAGAAAAGGTTGCACCAAGACTGGTTCAAGCCTTTTTATAGGTCTTGATCAGCACATAATTACCAGTTTGATGAGGGTGAACAGGAAAGTCCACCTTCCCCCACTCCTTAGTTTTCTAAGGGAGAACAAAGTAGAGGACAACTCAAATATATACTCATGAGCTCAGAAACTCATTGACTTGCTCAGATTCCAAAGGGGTCCTCTAGAGAGAGCAGTTTCTTGATTTTTTTACCTCAAAGTGAGAGGGGCACTAACAAACCCAATTCCATCTTCCCCAAAGGGAAACTCTCACAAGGGAAAAACTCAGGGTAAAGATGGGAGAAAGGAAACCATGAGGAGGACAAGAAAACCCAGAGATTAATAAAGCTGGCAGAGTCTGTAGTTGCAGGGGAAAACACTGTTCCCCTGCTTCCTGTACCTGGCCCTAAAATCAGGGCCTGTGGGACCAGTACATTAACCAGAGCAGCAACTGCCTTCACCCCTGAGAATGGCCAGTATGAGAATCTATTCTGCTTTTGTTGCTCTCAGGGTACAGCAAGGAGCAAGGTAAAGCCCATTATATTGGTCCCTACAACACATCTTAGGGGAATGTGTAGTATTGCTCATAAGTCCTAGGGGTCTGGATCTCACTCCAATCCTGGAATATCTGGTGGTGTGCAGAGTTGGGTAAGCAGGCCACACCCTTCCCTGGGTACCTTGTGGGTTCTATCCAGTGAGAAATCAAGAAGTCAGTGGAGGGGAAAACCAACCAGAGGAGCAACCAAGAAGTGGCAGAACAAGCCCTAGCTTCCTCAGCACTAACATGAGAGCCCTCCTCTTTGGGGATGTGGGTGTATTAAGATGAACAAGTCAGACAGGACTTCTTCCCAAGGCCCTCTGAGGAACAGGGAGGTTTTCAATGTTAAAGGCATTGCTTTTAGGGCAATTAAGGATAACCTGGAATAGGTGTCATGCTCTATGTATTAAAAGTAAATCCGGCTATATCAGGAAGTTATTGTACACAGAAAGACTAGTTGATGTTATTTTCATAATCCTTGTCTGGAATCATTTCTGCTTTTCACAATATGGTATAAGAAGAGGAATAAGCATTACTGATCTTCAGTGGTAAAGGCTAGTCTCTGCTAAACATGCTGTAATACATAGAACTATCCATTACATATATAAAGAATTGGCTGAAAAAGTCTATAGTGATAACACTAAGCAATCCTGCTCCCAAGATTGAAATCATGAAAGACGCTAATAGTTTCTGAAGATCTGATTCATCTTAATTTTTTTCAGCTATTTATATTTTGAGATAACCCAAATGATTAGTTCAGTTCCTTACAGGTTAAAGATGCTTAACAAGCTTTTTACTTATGTTAAAGTCAAAATCATCCCATTAAATGTTTCTATGATGTGATAATTTCTACCTCTATGTGAAACCAGATATAGAAAATATGGTTAATTCTTGGGGCTGGGAAGGTGGCTCAGTGGTAGTGCTTGCTTTGGATGCATGAGGTCCTGGGTTCGATTCCTCAGCACCACATAAGCAGAACAGGCCAGAAGTGGCACTGTGGCTTAAGTGGCAGAGCACTAGCCTTGAGCTGAAGAGCTGTGGAACAGCGCCCAGGCCCAGAGTTCAAGCTCCACAACCGACAATATGTGTCTGTGTGTGTGTGTGAAGGGGGGGGAGGGGGGGTGTAATTCTTGATTAGCCATAACTGAAATTTTTTGCTCATCAACCCATTTGACTATGAAAGGATCTGAACTGGGTGTTTGTATCAATGACAAAAACATACATTATGTCTTAAACCTAATTCCAGTTCCCTAACCTTAAACCTAATTCCAGTTCCCTAACCTTTTCTTTAAAAAGGTAACTCTCCCTCATATCCCCTTCCTAAACTTTTCTGATTTACTTGTATGCCTTTGAAGGTATGACAAGACTCAAAAGAAGAAATTTTCAAGATCTCTCAGCTACTAGCTCCCATTTGTTAGCTAATGAAGACTCAGAATCCAATTTATAATCCTTGGAAATCTTCAGCAAAGACAATGCCAAGGTAAAAAATAAAATAAAATAAAAAACTAAAAACTGGATACATTTTAACATCACTCAGTAACAAAACATCCAGCTCTCCAAATTGCCAGTCACAAAGGCTTGAATATTCTCCCTAAGAATTCTTTGCATAATTTCCAGCTCCAATTTATTAAATACTCTACTAGTAAAGTTGTGAATGGTTGCACAGTAGATGAAAATTTATTAAAGCAGCTTAAAGTCTCATTTTCAATTATACATATTTAAGAACTTCTTCAAATTCCAATAGTTTAGTATTTTTCTATATCTTAGTTATAAAAGTTCAGAGTGGATTTGCAGCATTAAATAGTATCACACATCAAGTTTCAGAGATTTATTAATCAGTGTAATAAATCCAACAAATCAACATAATTATGACATGCATTTACAGGAGATATTTCCTAGCGAAGTGGAAAATTGTGCGGATGGCTTCTGAAAGACCTTCATTTTAAGCAGCTTTATTGTGAGGTTTTTTAAATTTAAAAGTCTGGACCTTCTTTCTTCAGTTTGCTGTAGTCCACATTCACAGAGTAGAACTTGAAAAAAGGGAAATGACATTTTAGATAATCTATCAAATACAGAGAAACAGCATAAAAGTTTTAGAGTTCTGTCTGCCTAGTAATGCAAGAACCTGAGTTTAAGGCCAAATAGAGTAAAAAACAAAACAAAAAAACCCACAATTCTATTTCAAAGTAATACACTATTTCAACGTGGTACACTATTCATTTTGTTCTTTTCTTTGTGTGTGTGTGTGTCTGTGTGTGCCAGTCTTGGGGTTTGAACTCCTGGCCAGAGTACTAATCTTGGTTGCACAAGGCTAGCACTCTACCACTTGAGCCAGAGCTCTACTTCTGGTTTTTAGGTAATCAATTGCAGGTAACTTCCCTACCTTTGTTGGCTTCAAACCTCAATCCTCAGATCTCAGCCTACTGAGTGACTAAAATTACAGGCATGAACCACTGGCATTTGTTTCTTATTGTATATGCCCCTACTTCTAATTCTGTAAATTCTTACTTCACGTACATTAAATACATAGCATCTCCAATAAGAAAAATAGGAATATAGACAACTATCATACCTATTTGACTACAGCGCTATAAATCTTGATGGGAAAAATCTTAAAACCAAGAAAGCTAGAAATATGCTTCATTTGTGGTTTATGCAACTTCTCAGACAAAAACTGACTTTGCAGCCTGATGCTTGTTGCTCAGACCAGGAGGTTGAGATCTGAGGATTGTGAATAGAAGCCAGCCTATGAGACACTTATCTCCAAAAGACAAAAAAGGCAGGTCAGGGACAGAGCCCAGACCCCAAGTACAAGCACCAAGACCAAGTTCAAGCCTCAAGATCGACCCACACACACAAAAAAAACCTGACTTGCTTCAATGGCTTCTCCATTTTCTGTCTGTCACAGAGTTTTACTTATTTCCTAATCCAGACTGTATCAATATCAAACTGACACACTCACATCTGGTGATAGCATTGAGAAAACACAAAATTTTTGCAGATTTAAAATTTCTAAGGGCTGGGGGTGTAGCTAAAGTAGTAGAGCATCTGCCCAGTAATCATGACACCACAAGCTTAAACCTTGGCACAAAATAGGAAAAAAGAGAAATTATTTATATTCAAGATTAATTTTAGAAATAAATTAAATCCATTTGATTGACCCAGAATTTCTCCTGAAAAACAGAAATCACAATGCACATAAGTCCGGAAGGTTTACTCATTTGTGTGCCCAAGACCCCATAGAAGCATTCATTCTATAATTACTTGAAGACTACACGATTTATTACCAGAAGAATCCATGTTACAGAATCATCACTGATATTTTCTTCAGTTTATATTAAATAAGAAACTCAGGGCTGGGGGTTAGAGTAGCTCACTAACCTGTGTGAGACACTGGGGTTTGATTCCCAGCACTGGCTTCCCCAAGAAAAAAGAAAAGAAAAAAGTGCACACATCTGTTTCTATTATTTTTCAAACTTTTTTTTATCTCTGATTCAAAAACTCTTACTTCACTTGATTAGGGAAAAAAATCTCCCCTAACCTGGACAATGAGACTTAAAAAAAAAATGAAGACATGGTATTCTCTAATATGTTCACAGAACATTAAAAAAAATGTATAGAAGGGTAAAAACAGTAATATCAATGTTTTAAGGACTTTCCAAAAGATGTCATACACAGGCCTACATTCTGTATGCTTTGTATCTTAAATCATATAAGCTTTTCCAATTTTTTTCAATGAAGACAGGTGAAGATGAAGTTATATGACTTAGAAAACTCAGAGTAAAAAGCAAGATCAGTCTCCTGTGCCCATGCAGACAGCTCAAGAAATCATTGCCAATTTTTTCAAAGCTAAACAGACTTCTAATGCATTGCTTCATAGGTATATATTCATAGAGCACATTTTCAGATCTGCTGCATTTTTTACTTTTATGTCCCTGTCTTTTTTCTCAGCTTAATAGTGGGTAACCTGGGAACCCCTACAATAACAATCTCCAATCTTAAACCTGAGATAATTTATTACCTAATGTGTTGCTAAGCCTTTAATGCTTCTATTTTGGTCCTATCTCATTGTTTATATTGGCTTTTCATAATTAGAAACACATAACCCTTTGATGTGAAGTGAATATTTACATCTTCCTAAAATTCATGTTGTAATCCTAATCTCTAACATGATGATGGTATTGAGGAATTGGGACTTCTAGAGGTAAAGTATGTCATTAAATTACTTCCTTTATAAGTATGAAACATGACACAGCTCCATCCTCTCTCACAACTTCAGGAAGACATAATAGTACTTCATCTTGAACAGAACTGGTTGGCACCTTGATCTTAAGAACTGTGAGAAACTTCTGTTAAGTCATCCATATAGTACCTTGTCATAGCCACCTCAAATCTTAGTGGCTTATAATAAAATTTTATAAGCCCTTCATAAATCCCTTGTTCTAACTTTTCTTCAAGTCCAGGCTGAAGAGCAGCCCTTATCTGTCAATTGTGATCTCATGAGAAATGGAAAAGAACAATGGAGGAAACACATTAGTTCAGAAGGGCAGATAACATTGCCCCTTACTCATGATTTCCCAGAGAAAATCATATGTCCACAGCTGATGTTAGTATGTTACTGGGCCAGAAAAACAAATTCTCTTAGGTCAGACAGTTAATGATAAGAACAATAATGTAGTCAACTTTAGTGCCTGGGTTTAAATGTAGTAGTAAGTTGACTTCACTAACCCCTGGTTCACACAGTTCTACATTTAGTTTCTTTTTATTTTTACAATTATGTAACATGTGTCTTCAGCTCTCCAGTCTCTACCAGTAATATAGCTATTCACAGCTCACTCTATGTCACACACTAGGTTTTTTGTTATTCTATTTCTAGTTCATTAAGCCTCATATTTACATGTGTTATTATATTCCAAAGCACAGGTTACTAGCTTCTTTACCAGCATCATTCAGTATGTTTTCTGAACTACGTATATAAAATAATGCGGTATGCTGTGGTATGCTGTTTGGTCAAAGGATCAAGGCCTCTTTGGTTTTATTCAGCATTTCTTATGTACCAACTTTTTTTTTCTGAAATTAACTACTTAAATTCATAAGACAAAAAGAAAATAAGGCTGGGCACTGGTAGTTCATGCCTATAACTCTTACTACTCTGGAGGCTGAGATCTGAGGATCACAATTTGAAGCCAGCCTTGTCAGGAAAGTCACTGGAACTTGTCCACTAATCACCAAACTCCAGGAGTAGAGTTATGGCTCAAGTGGTAAAGCACTAGACTTGGCCACAATAACTCAGGGACAGTACCCAGGCAGAGTTCAAGCCTCAGGACAGACACAAAAACAAAAAAGAAAAAATATCAGGTATCTACTGATCATTTTTTGAGACAAAGTATTCACATACTGGTCAGATGGCATGTTTCATCTAAAGCAGTTCTGTGTGTGTGTGTGTGTGTGTGCATGTGTGTGCGCATGAGCGTGCGCATGAGCTTGCGCATGAGCGTGCGCACGCATACTCACAGGCGCGCCAACCCTGGGGTTAAACTCAGGACTTGATCACACCCAGGGTAAGAAAGTAGTAAAACAGGGCTGGGAAGGTGGCTCAGTGGTAGAGTGCTTGCCTTGCATGCTTGAGGCCCTGGGTTCGATTCCTCAGCACCACATAAGCAAAAAAGAAAAAAGCTGGAAGTGGCACTGTGACTCAAGTGATAGAGCACTAGCCTTGAGCTGAATTGCTGAGGGGCAGCACCCAGGCCCAGAGTTCAGGCCCCATGACCAGACCCAAAAAAAAATAGTAGAACAAATTAGAGAGAAAGAGATTAGTAAAGAGAAAGAAAATAAAGATTAGTGAAGAGAAAGAAATTAGTAAAAATATTCATTAGAACGGGCCATTTCAATTTCAAAGAAGTCTACATTGGACAAAGTTCATTATAACAGAAATTTAATTGTATATAATTACCTTAATTATACAATTAAATAAAACTATCCATGGCCAATTTATTAGTTTTCAACAATTCTGAAACCTTACCTTGTACTGATCATTGGGACCCAGTTTGTTCCAGGGTTCTGGGTTATTCTTCCTGTCCCAACTAAATTGAATAAAAAAATTGTAATTACTATAGTACTGAAGGACTTTTTAGAATGATGTTTTATATTTATTTAAACTGATGATATGAATAGGTCAATTTCATTCCATCACAAGGAGTACAATACTTTTATTGTGGAGTTAAAATAGGAACAGATTCTGTAACAAAGCAATCAACATAATCAAGTAATGAAAAAGTAGAGCACAGATCTTTGGGGGGAAGCTGTCCTGTCCCTATCATTATTACAGGAGAAAGATGATGGCTTCTACAAAGGCTTTTCATTTTATCACTGAAGTGACAGGTATGTTGAACTGTTTGTTTTTTTTCAACATTACCTATTGTGAAAAAGTAGGCAGCTCTATTCCTAAATCATTAGGAAATACTTCATACAAAACAAATACAATTTTTAATGCCATCATAAAATATGGTATTATTAGCCAGGCACCAGTGACTCACACTCATAATCCTTAGGAGGCTGAGATCTAAGGATCATGGTTCAAAGCCAGCCAGTCCATGAGACTCCTATCTCCAATTAACCACTAGAAAACCAGAAGTGGCGCTGTGGCTCAAGTGGTAGAGTGCTCGCTTTGATGAAGAGCTGAGGGACAGCGCCTAGGCTGAGTTCAAGCCCCACAACCAACAACAAAAACAAAAAAAGCAATTCTATTATACCAAAAAGAAAATAAGAAAATAAAAATCAAAGAAATTAGTTTCAAAATCAGAAAAATAATAAATGACCATAGCTAAACAAAGATCTGAACTTACTATCTGGCCACAAAAGTCAGGTAACTACGATGTTACCTACCCTAAAATGACTAACTCTTAACCAGTTTGACAAATCATCAAAGTTTTTAACTTTTTTTGTTGTTGGTCCTGCCTAGGTCTTGACTTCAAGGCCTGGGAGCTGTCTCTGAGCTTTTGTGCTACCACTTGAAGTCACAGCACCACTTCCAGTTTTTCTGGTGATTACTTAGAGATAAGAGTCTCACAGACTTTCCAGCCCACTCTGGCTTTGAATTGTGATTCTCAGATCTCAGCCTCCTGAGTAGCTAGCATTACAGGTGTGAGCCACCAAGAAAGTTGTAAACATTTTTAAGTACTTACCAGACATCTGGATTGAACAGGGCCAGGCGTGCCACATACAGGGCTGCTCCAGTGCCTCCCGCTCCAATAAATACAAAGAGGGGAATCAACTGGAACCGAAGAGAAAATGGACAAGAATTAAGAAACAACTTCAAATTTCCTGGTATTGACTAAAGGAGAGGTTACAATAGCTTCTAGAGATAAAACTTCCAAATCTCAAAACGGCTTCTTTGCTAATTTGTCTTACAATTTAAGTAAGCATAAAAGAACATTTCGTATAAGAGTAATCTAACAGAAGACTTACAATTACTATTCTAATGCAATGGGAGTTTGCAAAGGACGTTAAAACGATCCTGCTTAAGTATCTGATTTACTTATATGGAGCACGTTTTATGGGCATTTAAAATTTTCCAACAATTTATACCACATTTTCTTGATCCATGCATCAGCTGTAAGTGTTCTGGAAATTATCTGTGCCCCCAAAAGGATGTATGAAAAACATAACCTCTGTGAAAAGAGTCCGCATAAGTAGAAACAAGCCTATTACCAATATTGGCTTTAATCAGAAAACGCACTTACCGCCTCTTATTAAGTATTCAGGGAACTGGGTTTAAGATAAAGATCAAAAGGTATATAGCTGAGGGCCTTTCAGTTATTGTTGTTTTTTTTGCATATAGACATGCTGGGGGGGGGGGGGGGGGGGGAGAGGCAGGGAATGAGACTCCAAAAAGATTTAAATGAAATTTAAATTCTGCAGTTCAAGTTCCCCAAATGTCAAAGCATCCAAAGTGAAGATTCCAAGTTCAAGGGCTCCTTAAAATCCGGAAGGCCTGGTGGTGCAATGCGGGGAAAACATGCTCCCCACACAAGTCTCACAACAAACAGATCCGAACCCCCCAGACGCACGCCCACCTCTACCCACCCACCCACAAAAGGCAGCCCCTTAACTTTACCCCCACATCACCAGGCAGTATATTTTCCTCGTAGGTGTCCCTCACCTTAGGCCTGCCAGCAAAAACCCGACAGGCACGGCCTAAAAGGCCACAGGGCTCGAGGGCCGGGGTCAACCTGGACGCCCGAAGGCCAGACAGGGTCTAACTCGAAGGGTCGCCCGGGGGCTGCGGGGGGAGGCTGTTCCCACGGGACCGAGACAGTAATGGGGACACCGGGACACTTACGCTCGGATGCTTCTTGGCCTGACTGATGATCTGGCGGAGCATGTTTGCAGCAGAGGCCTGAAGGATAAACAAACGTTCCAGGCACGAGACTTACGCCGTCTGCGAACCCTAGCCGGGGCGGACGTCCAATGTCACCCAGATCCACCTACCTGAAGGACCTCTCGCTCCAGCGCAGCCGCCCGGCGGGAGGTCCCGGATGCGGCTGTCTCTAATAGTGCCTGTTTCGATCAACCTCCTTACGCCACCGCCCTAACCTGGCCTGCCTGTCACCATTCCATTCCAAGGTGACATATCCTTTATTCCTGTGCCGTGGATATTTCTGGCTGGTAACCTTGCCAGTCGGAACGAGAGGCTTTCGATGGACCAGACAGGCACTTTTCTGGGAGACCTATGTGTTGAGAACTGAGAGGGTCGCGCGGAGCCGGAGAGCCGGGGCCGCGCGTGCCGGGCGCGCGCCGGGCGGCCCTGGCGGCCGCCGAGGGAGCTGTGCGGCGCCCCGGCGGACCCGCAGCCCGGCGCCTGGAGGGCGGGTCGGGTCTCCAGACGCCAAGGTCACCCGCCAGCTGTGGTTTCGGCAGACAGCAGCTGCTTCTCCCTGTTTTAGCCTGTGGCTTACAGCGTGGAGGTTAAGCATGAAGCTATGGTCTCTGTTGCATATTTACCTTCACGAAGAACTGCAGCATGCCCTCCTTTCTGCTCCACCGTCTGCCAATCACAGCACTCTCGGTGTGGGCCAGTGGCACCTTTCTAGAAATTGCATTTTTAATATGGTCTTGTTCCTACAAATAACCTGGGTCCACTACCTTCATTCGATTTCTTCCAGAACTTTCTGTAGAACAGGCTTTGTGGGACACCTGAGTTACATTACAACAGATAATCGGATCCCCCAAAGATCCCTTAGTGATCCAGCAGGTAGAGAACTAACAAGAGTAGGAGACAGTTCCTCTGAAAAAGTTAGCTTGGAGCGGACAGTACCTAAGTGAAAAATCGCAGATGCAGATGTGTGGAGCAGATATGATTGCCATAAAAGGGAGAAGCTCCCGAATGACCTGGAAGTCTAGCATGACTGGAGAGGTCAGATTGGGAACCAGATCTGCGCCCAGAGCCACTTATAGAAGGTTTTATGTGCAGAACTTTTGGAAGCTGGTCAAACAGAAGCTTCCACAGTTTTGCTTTGTCCATAAAGAATGGATAAATGATGAGTAAGCATGAAAGATGAGGAACCTACTTGCAAAGAGGCCATTACAATAGTTCATGCAAGTGAGAATAGTAGCCTGGAATAATGCAGAGAATATGATGGGGTGGGGGGGAAGACTCCAAAGACATTTAGGAAGTGAGCAGAACAGTTAAGAATAATTTCAAAACACACAGGATGGTAAAAGACAAAACAACAACACACACACTTAGACAAATTATACAAGGATCTAGACATTCACATAATAAGACCAAAAGAGGATATTCTTAGGAGAGGATCACAAAAGATACCCATGAGCATATGTTCATATAAAATGGTGTTTATGGAAATGAACGCCAAGAAATGGAAATAAAAAGTTATAATTACTTTGTTTCTTTTTAAAAAATTCTCCTTTGTCACTGCTTTTGATTTCTATACCTTTTGTCTTGTATGTACATTTATCTGTTTGGGGGAGGGTAAGAGGGAGAACAGAAATGGTGGGACAAAGGGTGAACAAATGCAGCAGTGATACATACTAGATATAATATCGAAAATGAACTAACTATACAACTTACAGGGAAAGAGGTCAAGAGGGAGAATCTGGGAGAAAACGAGGGAAGAAGTGACACTGCTTAAAAAGAAATGCATTTAGTACCTGACATGTTTTTTTTGTTTTTTTTTCGGGGTCCAGTTGTGGGGCCTGAACTCTGGGCCTGGGCGCTGTCCCTCAGCTCTTCAGCTCAAGGCTAGCAATCTACCACTTAAGGCACAGCGCCACTTCTGGCTTTTTTCTTATGGGGTGCTGAGGAATCGAACCCAGGGCCTCATGCATGCAAGGCAAGTGCTCTACCACTGAGCCACCTTCCCAGCCCCAGTACCTGACTTATGTAACCAGAACCTCTCTGTACATCAACTTTACAATAACAATAATAAAGTCACTTAAAATAGGTAAAATAATTAAGTAATGATTACCAACATATTTTTAAAAAAAGAATAATTTCAGAGGTTCACTTGTGACTAGCTTTGTGGGTGTTGATGCTAATTATAAATAAAATCAAAGAATAGTAGATAAATGTCTACTTATACAGTGATTTTTCGATAGGGCAGAATAGAAAGCTAGACTGTAATAATGTGTGTGTGACAGAGAGAGAGACTGAGAGAGAGAGAAACTGAGATTGAAGAGAGAGAGATTGAGAGGGAAATATTGAGAGAGAGAGAGAGACACAGAGAGAGAGAGAGAAAGAGAGATTGTCCTAGGGTTGGAACTTAATGGTCTAGGTGTTGTTCTGAGTTTTTGTGCCCAAAGCTGGAACTCAACCACTTAAGCCACAGGCTCACTTTTGATTTTTTGGAAGGTCATTGGAGATAAGTGTCTCACAGACCTTCCTGCCTCGGCTGGCTTCCAATCTTGTTCCTAGATTCTTGCCTACTGAGTAGGCAGGATTACAGGCATGAGCTACTGTTACCCAGTAAGACTGGAAGAATAAAATTAGGTAGGTTATGGAGCTTGGACTCAGGGCCTAGGTGCTATCCCAGAGCTTTTTCACTCAAGACTAGTGCTCTACCACTTAGAGAAGTTTATCTGATTTGGGAATGGGAAGAGGGATCACAGAAATGGTGAGACACAGAATGAACAAATGCAACAATGATACTCACAAAACACTATAGGGAGATAGCGGAAGAAAATGAGAGAGGGTAACAATGTTCAACAAGAATTGTATTCATTTTCTTAGTTATATAACTGTAACCCCTCTGTACATCACCTTTACAATAAGTAAAAGAATAAATTTAGGACTCTGGTTTAAAATGAATCATATAAATCAATGAGATTGTTTAGCAAGAGAAGGTTGAGAAGAGGTCTGTCACAAGGTCCAGACAACTGAGGATTCCAATATGTACTGAGTGGGAGAGGAGATACGACAAATACATCATCGTCGTCACCATTATCATCACAAAATGTATGATTAGTAAAAAGGTGATATGACATGAATTTTATGAAGCCTATTACCTTTTTTTCCATTCACTTCCTGAACTTTTACAAAGTACCTACTCTGTACTAGGCATTGTTCTAGCCACCAAGAATATAGTAATGAAGAAGAAAATTATCTTAACATGCTAAAATTATCTTACATGCTAATTGGGGGCAATAATCAATACTCAATAGTCTTAAATAGTGATGGCAAAATACAATAAGACAAAAATCACATGAGAGACGTAGAGGAGAGAAGGTTGCTTTACTTACAGTAAACAAGAATCTCTCTGCAGATATTTAAGTTGAAACCTAAGTGAAAAGAAGTTGGAGGGCAGGCACAGGTGGCTCACGCTTGTAATCCTACCTACTCAGGAGGCTGAGATCTGAGGACCACATTTCAAAGCTAGCTGGGGCAGAAAAGTACATGAGACTCTTATCTCCAATTAACCAACAGAAAACCAGAAGTGGAAATGTGGCTCAAGTGGTAGAGTGCTACATTGAGCTGAAGAACTCAGGGATAAAACCCAAACTTACGACTGACAAAAAAAAAAAAGGATGATAACCCATTGTGTTTTGTTTTGTTTTGTTTTTTGGTCAGTTGTGAGGCTTGAACTCTGGGCTTGGGCTCAAGGTGAGTGCTCTACCCCTTGAGCCACAGCGCCATTTCCCCATTTTGTTTTTTTTTAAGGAAGAATATTCTAATTGGAGAGACAAATGGCTTTGAGACTTTAAAAATCTTTAACAGTAAAAGAAAAAAAAGTGCTGAAAGCCAATGTGGTAGATATATAACAATAAAAAGAAAAATCAGTGAGAGATTAATAATTTCTGACATCTTATAAGATGATGGTAAAGAGTATGGCTGTTAAAGATCAGCATAGTATTACAGACACAGAAAGTCCTTAGACATGAACAAAGAATACTGAGATACTAAGCGTAGATAGGTCAGTAAATAAATTACAAGGTAGAAGAGACCTTGCTGTTAATTAATTAGCTAATTAATTAATGGTCCTCAATTTGAACTCAGGCCCTGAGCCCTTTGCCTAAGCTTTCATGTACAAGGCAGTGCTCTACCACTTGAGCTACAGCTCCACTTCCAGCTTTATTTGGTAGTTAATTGGAGATAAGGGTCTTGGACTTTTCCTGCCTGGGCTGGCTACCAGTTATAGTCAAATCTCAGCCTCCTGAGTAACTAGAATTACAGGTGTGATTCCCCCAGTGCCTGGATGAGATCTCTTCTTCAATATTTTATTTTGAATGATAATGCAATAACTTTTAAGTAATTATTTGACTAATAAATAATAAGTAAACAAAAATATCATCATTCATAAGAAAGTAAAATCTAGCAAGTTAATGTGTTGTCATTGATCTTGTTTCTGCACATGACAGTACTATGGATAGCTAAGTGATGTCTTTGGAAATGTTAACAAATTAGAGGTACAGAATATAAATTTCACTAAATATTAAACAACATGTCAAACTGTAACATTTATAGTTTACTCATTAAAGTTAGAGAGAAGAGTATATGAACTATATATTAAGCTGGTTTGGGTAGAGTTAAAGCTAGAAAAAAGAGCCATAGAAAGGAAACATGATAAAATTCAGTGTGAGCTTCACAAGTAGGAATTATATATGCAATTGATTCTATTATACATAAATACTCTCTTGTAAAAGGAAATCACGTTGGCTTACTTCATTATTATCATGTTTGATGAAATGACCAGTTTTGTTAGTAAATGAAATGTGAAAATTGACATGTTATGCATAAGCTTTAGGATCCTACTCTGCCATGTTTGTTGTCTTCTCTCTGTCACTGATAAAATAATATTCTAAATAGTGGCTTTTTTTAATGAATGTATCAGAATAAGAACCACTTAGAGCAAAGCCATTGCTGATCTTCAGTGGTACATAGGGAAAATGAGAATGTTGGAAGTCATCAGATTTGTGATGTGTAGTATTTTGTCAATACGTAGCATGGCTCAAAAAGATTCATGGGTATGGTCATTGGTGC